TAAACGACCCAATCAAAAAATGGGCAATGGACCTAAATAGACACTTTTCGAAAGAAGACATAAGGAAGGCCAAGAGACATATGAAAACATGCTCAAAGTCACTAATTATAGGAGAGATGCAAATCAAAGTGACAATTCGGTACCATCTCACACCTGTCAGAATGGCTATCATCAACAAATCAACAAACAAGTGCTGGCGAGGATGAGGAGAAAAAGGAACCCTTCATGTACTGCTGTTGGGGAGGCAGACTGGTGCAGCCACCGTGGAGAATAGTATGGAGTTTCCTCAAAAATCTAAAAATGGAACTCCCTGTGATCCCACTTATCCCACTTCTAGGAATATATCCCAAGAAACCAGAAACACCGATCAGAAAGGATATATGCACCCCTATGTTCATAGCAGCACAATTTACCATAGCTAAGATTTGGAAACAGCCTAAGTGCCCATCAGCAGATGAGTGGATTAAAAACCTGTGGCAATCTACACAATGGAATACTATGCTGCGGTAAAAAATAAGGAATTCTTACCATTTGCAATAACATGGATGGAACTAAGTGAAATAAGCCCGTCAAAGAAAGATAAATATCACATGATCTTACTCATTTTTGGAATATAATGAATAACATAAACTGATGAGCAAAAACAGGTCCAGAGACAGAGAAGCATCGATCAGACCGGCAAACCTCAGAGGGAAGGAAGGTAGGGGAGGGTGGAGGTAAGGGGGAGAGATCAACAAAAGGACTTGTACGCATGCATATAGGCCTAACCAATGGACACAGACACCAGGGGCGTGAGGGCATGAATGGACGGGTGAGGGCGGGCAATGGGTGGATAAGGACACATATATAATACCTTAATCAATAAAGAAAAAAAGAAGTAGAAAAAAGAAGTCTCTAGAAAAACCCAAATATTAAAAGATACCAAAGCAGAGTTTAGCCTCTGACATGTACAACTACAAGAAACAATGAAAACAACCTAACCTGATAAAGTTAAAACCTCATGCTCAAGTTCTATTTACCTTGATACTTACTTTCCATTTGGTAAATTTTATGTACCAACTTGGATAAGCCAGAATATCCACTTTTTGATCAAACACCACTCAATATGTTGCTGTGAAGGTATTTTTTAGATGTGATTAACATTTAAATCAGTGGACTGAGTAAAATAGATAATCCTTCCATAATGTGACTGGGCCTTAACCAATCAGTAGAAAGCCGTAAGAAAAAGGAATATGGTTCTAATTTTTTTCCTCCAAAGTGCCAACATCAATCTTCCCTGAGACACCAGCCTGCCAGACTGCAATACAGAATTCAGACTTGCAAGCCCATAACTGCATGAGCCAATGCTTTAACACCAATCAGAAAGAATATATGCACCCTTATGTTCATTACAGTAATATTTACAATAGCTAAGATCTAGAAACAGCCCAAGCACCCATTGGTACATGAGTGGATAAAAAAAGCTGTGGTACGTTTTATACAATGGAATACTACAGAGCTGTGAAAAGGAACTCTTCTTACCTTTTGTGACAGCATGGATGAACCTTAGATTAGATTGTAATGCTAAATGAAATAAGCCAATCAAAAAGACAAATACTATATGATCTCACTTATATGTGGAATTTAATGAACCAAATAAATTGATGAGAATAATAAAAAATAAAGTCAATGTACTCAATCTCTCTCTCTCTCTCTCTCTCTCTCTCTCTCTTTCTCTCTCTCCTCTCTCTTTTTCCCTCCCTCTCTCCCTCCCCCTCTCACTCTCACAGATTTTTGGTCCCGTTTAGGACTTTGCTCTTAAAATTTCAAGTCCATGGATTCTGCTACCACCCTGAATGAGCCTGGAAAAGGATTCTTTCCAAACTAAGCCTTTAGATGAGAACATAGCCCGATCAAAACCACGATTAAAACAACCTTATAAGATCCTGAGCAGAGGACCACCTAAGCTATGTCCAGATTCCTGATCCACAGCAACTTAATAAATGTACATATTGTTTTAAGGCACTAGTTTGTGATAATTTATTATAGAGGAAGAGAAAAACAAAAATAAGTCAATCTATTCTAATATAGAATGTATACTAGAAAAAAATGAAGAAATGGAACAAAGCATTATAAATCTTGAGAGTATTAAAAAGAAAAAGCCCACATCTCAAAGGAAGGTAAGGGTGGGTGGGTGGGTGGGTGGGAAGAGATCAAGTAAAGAACTTGTATGTATATATGCATAACCCATGGACACAGATAATAGGGCAGTAAAGGCCTGGAGGGGGGTGGTGGGTAGGGCATGAGCTAGAAGGGGGTAAATGGGGGGGAAAAGGGGGACATATGTAATACTTTCAACAATAAAGATTTTTTTTAAAAAAACCCACAACTAAATAATGCTAACAACAGGAAATTCAGTCCTCTAATTATTCTCTGTAAGTTTACTTTAAAAATGCAGAAGAAAAAAAAAGGCTAAATAAGTAAAAATATGATAATTTTCTCATTTTTTCCCCTGTGCAGTTGAGAGATACCCTCTAGATTTTTCCAAACATGTTATAGTAGAATCAAGATATACATATATCCCACATTCAAAGGCTGTTAAATCATGTTGTTTACCCATATCTTCAGAAAAAAATCACTTCTACTGTCGTGGTAAACAACCTGCTTCCCTATTTATAATGGTCTGGCCCTCTAGCAACTTCAGCACGAAATTATAGCTAATTTGCCTACAAATGTCAGGTGGTCATAATAATCTGGCCACTCAGTGTATACTGTTCAAATAATATATAAAATAATGAACCTAAATATGCCTTACACGCCACTCCTACCTTCATGTATTTTGTTCAGTGTTCACCCTGGGCAAATCCTCCTACAATCTCTACCTATTAAAACCCACTTTAACACTTCAAGACCTCTCCACAGAACTTAATCACCCTTTCTTTTAAATCTTTACAATACTCTACTTGTAATTCTTCCATGGCACTTATAATACATTGTGTGTTTTTTCAATTTATATCATACACTCAACAATATTCAATGAACATCTATTATGAGCCAGCAATATGGTAAATATTAGGTGTCAGGGGGAAAAAGGGTCAATGGGTATACAAAAGTGGCCACTCTCACAGAACCTGTAATCTAGCATAGCAGAATATGGTTACTTGATCCGTGCTTTTTTTTATTATTATTGATTTTTTACAGAGAGGAAGGGAGAGGGATAGAGAGTCAGAAACATCGATGAGAGAGAAACATCGACCAGCTGCCTCCTGCACACCCCCCACTGGGGATGTACCTGCAACCAGGGTACATGCCCTTGACCGGAATCGAACCTGGGACCTTTCAGTCCGCAGGCCGACGCTCTATCCACTGAGCCAAACGGGTTACGGCTTGATCCGTGCTTTTATCCCCACTCTGCTCCTCAAAGATATTTACAAATCATCAAAGCCAAAAATTGCAATTCTTAATTTTCCACAGTACCATCACAGGACAGTACATACATTTAATACAACATTTCATTGAACTGAACTGAAATATACCTTGTAGAAAGTTATAACCAAAACATACATAATGTAGGCTAAGAAACTAGGGGCCTAAAAAGTAAGTTGATATCTGAAAATCAAATAATTTATGCACATGCCAATATATATCTTAGAATGCTTTCTGACACTGATATGCACATGGAAAATACAACTGATTTTTTCAATGAAAAACTGACTAAAATGCTATTTCTAAAATGTCATCATTATAGTATCAATTATGACATTTACTTTAAAGAAAATACAATATTGCGGAAGGTATAAACTTCAACTTTATATGTCCAATAGGAACCTATATTTAATTTTTAAAAATGAGTTTATATAGATGTAGAAAATGGAAAAATATGTTAACTTCCACTTTTAGTCATCTACTAAAACAACTTTATGACAATAACTAACCTTAGATCAAAGTTCTTATGACTCTTTAATTGGCTAGAAAGGAAAACAGAGTCAAAGCCAGAAGAAAACAGTTGCCCAAAAGAACCTCCATTTAACTCAGAAAAAATTATAGGTAATTTACCCATAATGAGCAATATGGTACAAAATGAATTTAAATATTCTATCATGATATAGGCCATTCTTACAACAAATTTCTTTCACCTTTATTTTGAAGATGTTTAAACCTTGAAAATGGTTCCTAGAAGCACTGACCACATGGATTTTTGCAGTAATCATGAACTGATTACATATATTACATGTAACAATATATTTTGTAATTAAGTAGCCAGTAC